TCATAATAAGTAATATGCTATTAGAAAGTGATAAATGCTAAGCAAAAAGTAGAGCTTGGTTAGGGATATTGGAAGTGTGCGTTAGAGGTAATTTCTAATTTTAAATAAAATAATAAGGATAGGCCTCTTGAGAGTTTGACTTTTGAACAGACTTGAAAGTTAAGGGAAGAAGAAAGAGTCAAGCAGAGGAAACAATGAATGCAAAGGCCTTAGGTCAGGAGCAGGGCTGATGTATTGAGGAAAAGCAAGGAGGCTAATAGGTCTGGAGACCAAGGGGAGAGAATAGTAAGAGATGAAGCCGGGCAAATAACGGGGCCACATCACATAAGGCCTTCTGGGCCAGCATAAGGGCTGTGACTTTCCTTGAGTGAAATGAGGAGCTTTTGACATTGTCAAGCATGTTTGACTTCTGTCTCAAAAAGAACACTCTAGCTATCCTATTGTGAATACGGAAGTCAACTTCGGGAGACTGTTGCTATAATCCAGGAATAGGATACTGGTAGCTCAGATCACTATGGCAGTGGAGGTAATAAGACACAGTTGGTTTGTGGAGACATTTTGAAAATAGGAACAACAGGATTTCCTGATAGCTTGGATGTAGGTGTAAGAAAAAGGAGACTCCTGTTTTTGACCTAAACAACTGGGTGGACACATACCATTAATCAGGATGTGATAGATGAAGCAAGTTTAAAGGGAAAAACTTAGGAGTTCAGTTTTGGACATATTAACAGTGTGATATCTATCAGATACACTCATGAAGATGCTAAGGAGGAATGGTATATACAAGTGTGGATTTCAGCAGGAGGTACAATTTAGGAGTCACTATTAAGTGGATTGTGTCAAAAGTTATGAGACTGGATGAGAACACTAAAGGAATTAGTAAGTAAGTTGGAGAAGAGACTAAGGTTTGATGCCTACGGCACTCCTAAGAAGTTAGGCAGAAAATGAATCAGTAAGATAGGAAGAAAAACTTAGAGTTTGGAAGCCAAGGGAAGAGAGTATAATAAGGAAGAGGGACTGAGCAACTATGTCAAATGCTGCTCATAGATGAAGTAAGCTGAAGACTAAGGATGAATCATGGCTTTTAGCAATGTGGAGGTCATTGGTGACTGATGAATTGTTAGGTGATTATTTGGTTAAAATTTATTTTTTCATGGTAGACTAAAAATTCCACGATAAAAGGGATCATATTTGTTATTTCTCACTACTGTATCTCCCAAACTTGGCATAGTTCCTGACGTGAATAAAGGAATGAATATGTAGGTCCCAGAATCCCTAGGTGGGCTGAAGAACTGGGTCAGAAGTTATATAGCCAAAGTCAGTGCCTCCCCTCAGTAATGCTTCTTTATTGGTTTGGTGAGGACGGTTCTGCTCTTGGTGCAGGGCACAGGCACAGTAGCTTGTTCTGTTGACATCACTGACAATGCTCACAACCACTGGAACCTCTGCCATTCCCAAGCCTGATTGGAGTGATCAGGTTATGTGTTTGGGCTTTGACTCCAAGAAAGGCTGGGAAAAACAAGCATGTAGCATTTTTAGCTCCTATTGTGGGAGGTAGACTCTACCTTAAAATGTGGAATCCCAAACATAGAAAGATCAAATAGCATTTGGCAAGAGAGTGATAGATATCCATCCACTTTAGGGCTAGAGAAATAGGTTTTGCAGGTTATCCTTGAAAGGGTAATAATCAGATCTGTGGGATTAGGGAAAAGGGCTACTTTGGATGGTTGCATGTGCAGGTTTTTCACTGAACAAGAGCTTCCTGCTGGTAGAGCAAGTGGGGCCCAAAACTCAACCCATGTTTCATGGTAAAGTTGCAACTACCCCAGAGGTATTGCTTTTATCTAAGTCACATTAAGTTACTCTGTGGAATAGTGGAGGCCCTGGATTGGGGCTATAGAATTGAGAAGAGTTCCAAGGAAATGTCTGTCTGCAGGTAAGATAGGGGAAGGGGCAGAGACTAAGCATTTAAAGCTAGGATAATTCTGTAATGGAAGCCAGTCAAAAATTTTAAAGATGTTCCACCCTTAAATCTATCTATGGTTAAAAAAACAGTCACCTATTAGATGGATTCCAGAGAGGATGTGGAGTGTAACAGCTATTAGATTTAGAAACAAGGAGATTCTTTATTCAATATTTCAGAGGGAGTGGTCCAGTAGAGCGGCGAAGATGGGAACTAGCTGATAATTTATTCATTTATTTGTTCTTCCATTCATCCAACAAAAGAGAAACGGATGTGGAGGAGAAATAATTATTAATGATTATATTATTATGTTAAAGAAGAAAGTTATTTCAAATATAATGTAGTGAGTGTTAAAGGATGGCTATGTAGCATGTGGTATGAAAAATAAGAGGAAGAGCACATAATTCAGCACAAGAGTAGGAAGGGGTTAAAAGATTCTCTTTACCTAATTCTTGAAAGTTTGGTAGCCATTTGTTATTCATTCATTTGACACTCATTCTTTAAATTTCTGTTAAGAACTTACCAATGTACCAGCTACTGCTGTAGGCACTTTGGATTCATCAGTGAATGAAACAAAGACCCTGGCCCTTGTGGAACTTACGTTCTTATAGGGGGAAATAGATAATAAACAGAACACATAACAAGTAAACATTGCATAATGTGATAGTGGATAAGTGCTATAGGACAAAGGAAAAGTAGAGGATGGTAAAGGGGAAAGGACATGCGGGTTCTTCTGTTAGTTTTAAGTTTTAAAATAGGGTAGGTTACACTGAGAACATTAAGCATTGTTTTTATGAAAGATTTCAAACTGACACAAAAGTAGTGAGAATAGTATAATGAATCTCAATATACTTATCACTCAGATATTCCAGTTACCAACATTTTGCCACACTTGCTTCATGTATCCCTTTTTTCTTTTTCTTTTTTTCTTCACCAAAGATTTTAAGGCAGATTTCTAACAGGATGTAATTTACCTCTGTAGACTTTAGTACATACTTCTAAAACATATGGACATCTTCTTGCATAACCTCAATGCAGTTATCACAACTAATAAACCTAATAACATAGAAGAGATACTTGAGCCACGACTTGAAGGAGAGGAAAGAGAGTTTGGGAAACAAGACGTCTGGTGTAATGGTCCCAAGGAACTGGAGAATGCCTAGCGTATTTGAGGAACAGCAAGGAGTCGAGTATGGCTGAAGCATAGTGACTGAGGGGAGAGTGGTAAGAGGTGGGGTCTTGTAGGCTACTGAAAGGACTGTGGCTCTACTTTGAGTCAGATGGGGAGGCACGACAGGGTTTTGAGCAAAGGAGTAACAACATCAGATTGGTGTGTAAAAGGGGTACTCTTAGTGTTCTGTTGAGAATATTCTGTAGGGAAGCAAGGTAAAGAGTGGAGAGCCTGATTAGGAGGTTGTTGTTGGATTACAAGGTATATTTTTATTAGTGACTCACTCCAAGTAGTAGCAGTGGAGATGTTCATAAAGTACTTGGATTTTGGATATGTTTGAAGATGGAGTTAACTGGATTTCCTGACTGGCTGTGGCTTGAAAAGAGAAAGGAAGGCATGAAGAACATGCATTGGTCTTTGACCTGAGTAACTGGAAGGATGGAGTAGGTTTTGGGGCCACTACCACGAGTTTAGTCTTGGGCATGTAGAGTTTGAGGTGTGTGTTAACATATAAGTGGGATACCTAGTTGAATATTTAAGGCTGGAGTTAGGGAGAGAGATAGCAGAAAGCATAGTGTGTGTTAGGAGTGGTTTACACCATAGATAAACAGCCAGATGGGGAATGTGGGTATTTGGAAATTACTGGTGTTGAAACGTTTCCTGTTCATAGTTTAGAATTTTTGTCATTTCATTAGGACTACTCTTTCAGGAATAGATAACTCAGTGAAGTTTGCAGTTCTATTTTGTTTCTCTCAAACTATTCTTCCTGGTCAGGCAAGAATGAGTAAATTAGGTGAAAGGTAAAATTAAAGTATTATACAATTCTATTTCTTTTTTTGTTATCCTCACCCAAGGATATTTTTCTCATTGAGTTTTAGAAAGAGTGGAAAGGAGAGAGAAGGGAGAGGGAGAGAGAGAGACCCTTACATGCCCCAACTGGGTTCAGGAATCGAACCCGCTGCTCTTTGGTGCTGGGGCCAATCTCTATCCACTGAGCCACACCGGGGCTGGGGCTGTACATTTCTTTTTATTATGGCTAAGCACTGTCATTTGGAAAGAATTCATTTGTGTATTCTTTGGGGTCACTAGAGTCTGTCCCAGGATACTTTGGAAGTACTGGCAAATTCGGAGACATTCACAGAATATGACAAGAAAATATTCTGAGGTGTTCTGGTAACTTCAGGCTGATACTTGGAGACCCCAGTTGTGATATTACTACCATTGCCTCCTTCCTTCCAGAACCCAAACTCACTAAAATTTGGATTAAAAAATAGCCATGTTTTTCTGACATTTTCTAAACATGAACTACTTAGGAAACTTGTGCAGCGGTTTTACCCCTTTTCTTTCTACTTGTAGCCCCACTGGAGAGATTTTCATCATAGGTAGCCAGGTGGTTATTACTCTGGGGGTGGATGCTATGGAAAGGATGTTGTCAACACTAGTGCTTGTGGAATGCAGGCTAATTGTGACTGCTTTTATTTCTCGTTTTTAAAAGGGAATATTTCTAATCCCCTTTTTGGGTCATTTGGAGTTCTGATTATATGTCTTGGAGTCATGTGGAAGATTGACACATCAACCTGGGGATGTGCTGTAGTTTCAGCTGTTGTAGTAGCTGGGGTCTGTATGACTAATTTTAAATAACTAGGAGTTCAGAGATTGGAACCCTCCTATGCTTTCTTAGCCTGAATGCAGTCTGTGGGTTACCTTCTTCACAGAGAAAGGTCAGGGAAACAGAGAAGGATCAGGGTGTCTTACAAGGCTCGAGTGACCATCTTTTGCACACAATTACTCCTTCTCCCTCCCCCCCTTTTTAAAATGAGAGTGAAAAAAAGGATACTTACTCTTTTTTTTACTTCTCTTGTATAGGAGATGCATCGGAGATTTGAGAACGCCCCCGATTCTGCCAAGACAAAAGCTCTGCAAACTGTTATTGAAATGAAGGTGAGAATCTAATAATCTTATGAGTCATTTTACACATGTAAGTGATCACACACTGTCATGTGTGAGTTTTAGAAAGTGGTATGTAATAATATTTTACTCATTTTGCAAATTGAAAAGAAATAGTAAGACTTAATGAAAATGACACTTTAAAAAGAACTTTAGTCTCAGTTGCTTTTAGTTGTAGCATGTAACTCAAATTGGACAAAAAGGTTTGTCCACAATTTCTTTAAGTCAGCTATTCTCAAACCTTTTGATCTCAGGACCCCTTTATACTCTTATGATAGACTCATTTCCTTCATTTTTAAGAAAATATCTGCCAAATATCAAGTCGGAGTAACCATAGTTTGTCTGTTCTTTCTAGTAAAAATAGCTTTCTATGAAAAAAGTAGCCAATTCAGTTTCAACTCGAAGCACACAAGTGCTGTTCCTGGGAATAGTCATTGTACTTCTTGCAGCAGAAGTGCCTAGCTCCTTCCTGTTTTATCACACAGAATATTAAAAAGATGTGTGCTCAAGGTTGAGATTTATTAAAAGTAATAAAGTAACAGGTCATTAAGTTAGGCAGTCTTTTAAAAATTTTCTTTCTTCTTTTTTTCTGTGAGTGCCTGACACTGAAGAATACAGTGACTACTGTGGTTTGGTGCTATTGCCTGTTGTCCTAAGGCATTATTGCTTTTATACCTTGGGTGAAAATGTTAACAAATGTTAACACAATAGAAAAGGCAAATAAAGTGATAGTATTATTAAGGAAATAGTTTTGACTATGCAGACTTACTGAAAGGGTCTGGGGGACACCCTCAGGATTCCACAAGTCATACTTTGAAAATCTCTGCTTTAAGTTAATGAGTAGTTAGAAATCTTCAGGCTGTACGATATGGCAGTTGGTGATGAAGAGCTTGCCTTCTCAGTTATATTCCTGGATTCAAAATCTGGCTTTACTTGATCAACTGTATGACACAGAGCAAGTTACCTAACCTCTCTACACCTCAATTTGTTTATCGATAAATTGTGGTAGTAATAGCACCCATCCCATAGGTTATTTTGAGGTTTAATTAGTTAGAAGAGTAAAACACTTTGAAGAGGACCTGGCACATAGTAAACATCCAGTCATTGTATACTGCTGCTGCTGTTATTTTTTTTATTAACATGTTCTTTTTAAATAAAACTAAAAGATTCTTACAGATAGGGACACCTCTCTCTCCCTCTCTCTTTCTCTCTCTCTAACTTCATATCTCTTAAAAAGTTTGACACTGTGTTTTGCATTATGGGCCTTCATTTAATATTTGTTGATGTGACGAGTATTTAGTTTTTGGTATATAAATAGTTTTCTATAAATAGATGCTTCTCAAGTACAGTTATAAGAACTGTTCTCTTAATTTGTATGATTTCCTCTAAAAGTTTGTTTATGTTGTATACATCTTTATTCTCAATGGGGAAAGGATTTACCAATTCCAAATTAGTAGATTCTGGATTCTTTGTAGCTAGTCAATTAGTAGTCTTGAACATAATCTTGTAAAAAACCTTTAGAAAGGTTTACTTGAATGTTCCCAGTTCCTTCAGGTTTATTTATACATGTTATTTCCTGATCCCTGTTAAAACCTAAGACTAAAATACATCAATAATTTTGTACCTACATTCACAAAATTATTTCACTTACCTTTTGGGGTAAGTGGGGAAGTGTAGTGGTATTAATTCGTAGTGGATCTATTTAAAGTCCTGTTAGCCTTTAGCCATTTTGCTAAGAAGCAAGAGATTCTGAGATTCTGGTGACTCAGTGGGGTCAGGTGGACATTATGCTGAAATCACGACTGAAATAGTTAAGTTGCTGAGAGTGTGGCATGAGCCTGACAGAATTACGATGATCTAGAATAGTCTTTGGGGGAAATGAGAAAGAAAGATAAATGATAGACAATAAAAGAGCCCAACAGTCATCTTCAAGGTGATGTAATTTTCCTCCTCCTCCTTCCCCCCCTTCTTTTTCTTCTACCCCTTTCCCCTTCTCTTCTCCCGCCTTCTTCCTTCCTTTCACCTTTTCCCTCTTTTCTATCTCATGCTTCTTCATTTCTTTCTCTATTTTTTTTTTCTTTTTCCTTCAGCAGGGGAGAAGCAGGGAAGAATTACTGTATGGCTCTAGGGTTAGAGTTTTGCTGGGTAGATACAGAAAAATTATTGGGATGCAAATGAATTGAGAGTGATGGTGAAAGAGTAATTTGGATGATCAGTCCAGGAATGTAACCTGGATGGGAAGGAAGAGAATTTAGAATGGACTGATAGGTTGGGAGAAAATGTAAGAGTTAGGGAAGCGGAGATCTCTGTGAGGTTGAAGAACAGCAGATAATGAGAGTCGTGGTGTGACAGGCCTGGGAAGAGAGTCCTGGGTAACAGCAGGCTCCAGAGTGTAGTCTTATAAACTGGATAGTTAAAATGGACTAGAGGATGAGGTCAGTGGAATTAAGGACGTTAAAGAATTCAGACATTGAAATCCTAGGTTGGTGGCAAGAGGCATTTGAAGGGAAGATTGGTGCCGAAGCCAGGTGCCAAAGGCTTCTTAAAATGGGCAGGCGTAGCCATGGCTGGGTGGCTCAGTTGGTGTATGGCATTGTCCCATACACCAAAAAGGTTCCAGGTTTGATTCCCAGTCAGGTCGCATACTGGAGGCAACCAATTGAAATTTCTCTCTCACATCAATGTTTCTCTCTCCCCCTCTCCCTTCCTCTCTCTAAAATCAATAAAAACATATCCTTGAGGGAGGATTAAAAAAAAATAGGGCAGAAGTCCCTTGATGGCTGCAGTGAGGAAGGTAGAGTGAAAAGGAGCTTTAAATATGAGCTTCAGATAAAGGGGAACAGCGTTGAGGAACCAGGATGCCCACACTTTTCCCTTGTTCCCTTGTGGTGCTGGAGGATTAGTGGCCTACACTGGAGAGAGTTCCGGAAAGTTATATCCTTTGGGAAAGCCATGTTTTACTTGGAATAGGGAGACAACTTTTGAAAAAAAGTTGAGGAATTGGAAATTTATTAAGGAACATGATTTCACTAGGCTTAGTGGGATTGGTTGGTTAATGATGGAAGACCCAGGGCTGGAGAAGTACAGAGCAGTAAGATGATAAGGAATTTATTTACTTAATTATTATACATGCTAGGAGTAAGAAACCTCACTGGAAGGACTATCCCCAAATAAATCCAGCCTGAATACTGTTTGAGTTGGTGCTGGAACTAGTTGAGCATATCAGGCATTAATTTTCTGGCCTGATTTCAGAGAGTAGCCTGGCAGGTTCTTCTTCTGTTCAGCCTAAGCCTGCCTCAAGGCTTTCAGAGCTGCAGTTGCGGTCCTTTTCTGGGGAGAAGCTTTTATGTTGCATGATTTGGTAGTGGGGGTGCTGATTTGGTAAAGAGCTGCCTCTCTGTCTGTGTTGGGGTTAGGGGAGAAGATGGATAATGTTTCTTGGCAAGCTCCTTGTAGGGACTTTGTAGAGGTGTAATTTGTGTGATGTGCAGAGCTGGAGTTCTTAGCTGAAGGCTATTTTGCCTTGTGTGGAGGAGCACCAATGGTGCTAGAAATACACTCTCTCCTTCCACTGGCCCTCTTTCATTGCCACCCAGGCTAATGTTCGAGGTGAACCACATTTCACTTTCTTTCATTTGTGGGTTAATCACATGCATGTGCCTAGTATTTTAGCCATTTTTGAGGGACCCTGATAGCTCCAGGAAGATTTATAGTCATCTCAAAAGTGAATTTTCAGATAGTGCAATTGAAGTAGTTACCTGAGGCCCAGTCATTTTAAATGAGTAAATAAAAATCCTGGCTTAGGTTTAGAATGTCTCTGATTTTACTGATTAATACATTTAATTTTGAACCAAATGTAAGTTTAATTTGAATAGATTTGTAAAAGAAAGTTTTTGTTGTGATAATTTTAAAGGTAATATAATGCAAGACAGAGGAATACATGCTTCTCCTCTCTCCTGAACCTAAAAATAGCTAGTTGTAGTTTTCTCATGATAAATCCTTTAACTTTTATCTGCATGCTTTAAGAATTATTACAAGGAAAGTCAACTAGCAGTCCTCGAGCTAAAGTGCAACAGGAAGTCATTCTCAAAATTACCTTCTAAAGGAATGGTTTCTCTAAAATTCCAAATAAAATAAAGCTATACTTAATTTATGATCTTTAAGATCTTTATTTCTTAGATGAATAAGCATATGCATTATTGATATAAATGTATTCGTTCTGTGTAGTTTTTCTATAACTGACAACATATAAAGTGATCTTTCTGTAATTGATGACATCTAAAGTAATCACTAGATACTGTCACAAACAAAACCAAGACATTGAATATAGAGGGATATTCTACTAGGAAGTGATTTTTGTGGTGGTCATGATTTACAAGGACAATGATGTTTTAAAAATTATTATGAAATATTTCATATGTATGGAACAGTATAGAGAAAAATATTATGAATATGATAAACTCTAACTGTTAATGTAATTATTTATCTCTTTGTTTTTCTGCAATGGTATGTTGTAAAATCTTAATTTTTATAAATATATACACATTATTGTATAAATCTTTGAAACCTTCTTACACATCTCCCCCCTCCTTTGTGGGCAGAAATAAACCCTTTAGAAGTCACCAAGTAATATGATAAGATAGTATATCTGGAAAAGGTTTTACTGTTAATATTACAAAAATTTTCACTAGATAGTTGTCCATCATAAAGTACAAAAAAACTTTTACCAGTTTTCGATTGCTTTTACTTCTTTAGTTAATTGTCTTAGCTTTAATCCAAAGGGTGCAGATGAGAGGAAGAGATAGAGGAAAAATCATATTACAGATATGAGTCCTCCTCCTTCCACCCAAATTACCATAAAGGTTATATTTTAGAAGTTAGGTATCAGTTGCTAGACAGCAATTTTCCTGCATATTTATTTTTATTAAATTTAATATCTCTAAGACTGGGTTGTTTAACTTCTCTGATTTTTCGTGAATACTTTAATGTCTAAATCTTCCATTGTCCTCAGGATTCAAAAATTTCCTCTATGGAGCGTGGTCTCCGAGACTTGGAAGAGGAAATTCAGATGCTGAAATCGAATGGGGCTTTGAGTACTGAAGAACGGGAGGAAGAAATGAAGCAAATGGAGGTCTATCGGAGTCATTCGAAATTCATGAAAAATAAGGTAATGGCATGTGATACTGTAATTTTAAAAACGAGGTTTGAAAAATTGATACATATCCCTAGGTCCTTGGTGATGATAAAGGACTTCACCCTGTTTTATCAGACTTCAGGGAAGAGTACTACTAAAATAATTCTTTCAAGTGGAATTTGCCCAGAATTAAAGTTGGAATAATGGATGTTCTATAGTTACTTCAAGTTTTCACTTAAAAAAAATTACCTGTATGAGGAAAGTATGTATTTTTACAGTTTAACATTTCATGTCTATTAGTATTGCTGAGATGATTTAGTAGAATTACATCCAGATGAGGTTTTCTCACTATGTGAGACATCTAGTTCTCTACCTCTTGTGAAGTATTTTAAAAGCCAAAACCTTAAGAAGTTGAACCCAGATCTTCCCACCTCCCCCCGCGCCTTTTCCAGATATGGTTGAAATAAAATCATGTTTTTCCTTCAAATACAGTTCCATAAAGGAAAACCATTTGCTCTGTCCCTTGGAGAAGATCCATTTGTATCAGGTTTATTGTTTCCCATGTATGCTTCAGGTGTATGTAAAGTAAGATAGGTATCACTGATGTCAAGCTGTATTTGTAAATTCAGTCACAATATTCCCTCCTTAGATCTAAGGCCATTTAGCGTGATTCTATAAACTCTTTAGGCACATTGAGGATTTAGTTTATTGTAGTTGTCAATTTATCAGGTTTGTTGTGGTTCAATTAAAAATCATAATTGCAGCTATAAAATATTACCTAGAAAATAAGTATCCCCCCTTCCTTCTACCATATCCCAATTGTATTATTCCCCAATTTCTTAGAAGTGAAAAGTGTAAGGGAATGACACAGTTATAACTCCCCCTCCAGTTTCTGGCTTCTTATTGTGGTACGCATACCTGGCATATAAATTTGTAGAATATTCCTCTATTATTGTAAGAATCTGTTGTTAATGACATGACTACTGCCAATTTCATGTTAATTAGAAAGTTAAAAATTCACATATTCAAACTTCTTTTTAGTTTGGATTTTTCACCCTATTTTGAGAACTAAATATACAGCAATATAAGCTCTGCTTCCCATTTGCTGATTAGCACATTCCAGTTAATTTTTAAAATCCTGTGAAAATAGAGAAACCATCTAGGGTCTTTGATAGAGGGAATGAGGGAAACAGATTTGATTGTGTTATATGTTACTTTTATTTCCAGTTACTGCTCTGGCTCAAAAGCAGATAAGACCTAAGTTGACACATAAATAAAAAAGAATAACAATGTCGTGACAGGTAGAGCAACTGAAGGAGGAACTAAGTTCGAAAGAGGCTCAAGGGGAGGAGCTGAAAAAGAGAGCGGCTGGTCTTCAGGCTGAGGTCTTTGCCGTAAGATTTATCCTTTTGTGTGCAGTGATCCCACAGTGGGACCCTGCCAGCTCTGGCTTCTGGGTGGCTTATACTTTCATTTTCTGTGGTTGGCAGCTTTGCCCAGTACTGGTACTAACCAGCCTGCTCTGCTCTTTAACCAACACCTGTTCAGCAGTTTGAACCATATGTCACTTTGTGTGCAGTGAGCCCCCACATGTTCTGGAAGCCCTGTACCTGGTTCTTTATTGTTGCTGTTGTCACTGTATGGGTAAAGCTTGTTTTTTCTCAACTTCTTTTCTGTTACTAGAGATTTGTTGGTTTACATGAATGGTAGTCTCTTTTTCTTTTTAGGTATATGCAGATGTTCTAGTATTTATTTGAATTTGAAATTCTTGAGTAAAGTGCTTTACCTTCATATACAGACACAATCTTTAAGTCTATTTGGTGACTTTGCAGCAAATGTTTCTTTCTTTAGAACAGATATATAGAAAGTAATTAGCTTATTTAGAGTTATCTAGTAAATTAGATAATTAAGTCTCTAAATCTAGTTGTTTTCTTTCTAAAGAACTTAAAATTCATTTCAAAATATAATAAAATAGCTAATACTTGGGCACTTATTGTAAGCATTTTATAACCTACTAAGGTAGGTATATTATCAACCCCAACTTATAGATGAGGAAACTGAGGTAACAGAGTGGTGCTTAGGAAACACAGCTAGTAAGAGGCAGAGTTTGATTTTTACAGTAAGTAATCTGGTTCCAGAACCTGTGCTGGTAAGCTCTTCACTCTACTGCCCTATCCTAGGCTGTGCACACGTGTCATACAAGTGTCAGAAAAACTGCTTCTGAAAACAATTGTGGGATAAGACTGAAATGCAACATTAAAAAAACCTTTATGCTAATTTGGTGAGTTTGCTGTTTATGGACCACTTCATAGTATAGGTAGGGAAGTGAAATACTTTGTCCGAAAGAGTCTAATTTGGTTTGTGGTAACTATGTATTGTCTAGAGGAGAAGTTAATCCATAACTTCTCTCTTTTCTTTTTCTCAGCTACTATTAAATCATTTTTTGTGTGTGTGTCAAACAACAGGCTAAACACATTCCATACATTATTTTGTTTAATCTCTAAACAGCACAGTAGAACTGGTTCATTTTCTTTTTATTACTGATTAGGAAGCCAAGGCCTAGAGACATAAAATAATTACTCAGAGTCACACTCATCCTCGTGTGTGAGAAACTGCAAAGCCTTGTACTCCTAACTTTTAAGCACAATTTGTGCTTTGGAGCTCTGCTTTCAATTTAGAATATTTTCTTCCCTTTCTCGGTTTCTGTGGTCAGTATAACATTATTTGAAGATTAATAATACAGATGATAGGAAACTGAGATTTTATATTTGTTTTTGATCACATGACTAGAGGTAGCTGGAAATTTGAGAAAACTTTAAGCCATAGTTCTTTAGCTGAGAAGTGATAACACTTTGAATGTTCCTCTTGAATATTCATTCAAACAACAATTGTCTTTTAGTACATTCTGTATGTTAGCAATAGGATAATACTAATGTTTGATGTTTGTTTGTAAAGAAATGTAATGAAAGACACTATACCATTACAGTATGTGGTAACTCCTGGTACATATCTATACAACAGGATGAAAATAGTTGCCATTTACAATTATCTTCCACTGATGTCCTTAGTATCCTCAAGTACTTTGCATGAAATAAGTACACAAATATTTGTTAAATGAATAACTGTATCTGTAATTGGAGGTTTCATGCATATGGGAAAAATGCTTGTCTTCTTGTGAACAGAAGAGTAAATTAGAAATTTATTTTTAGGGCTTTTTAAAAGTCTAATTAAAGTAAAGTTTATATTTCTTCATGGGAAATTGTTCTGAAAAGATTTGTCCCTTATACCTATGATTATTACAGTAAAATACTTTACATATATTCAATTAAAAAAATAAAAAGTACTTTTTGTTTCATCAGTGATACTGAAATTTCTGACTTCTTGTCATATTTCTGCTTACAATAATTAATCCGTCTTTCAGTGCACAGTTACCTTCCTAGGCAGTAGACATAATGTAAAAGCAGATCTGATTTCTGTTACTTTGACTTACATTTAGAATAAAAGACTATTTAGGAAATTTTTAGAAACACAGAAATGCAAAGGAGATGTTAGAAATAAATGTTTTCTAAGTTAAGATGAGAGAACTTATAGGAAAATGAATGACACCTATTGACTTATGGATTAATTACTCTGTCAAATTACACATGTAGATGCTTACAGAATGAGATTTATGCATTCTCTGTTTAGTTGAAATGTTATGCATTACATTTAGTTGGAATGACATGTTGTAGGTGATCTAATTTTGTAAGTGGAATCTTTTTAGGTCAATACTCTCAATTCATCAAAATTATAAAGTTTTAGAAAGCACATATTTATAATGTCTTACAATACAAAGTGGCTTTTAAGATAGGAATTCTATGTGAACTTTTGTTTGAGAATGAGAAAAATCTTAATGAAAAAATACAAAATACAGCAGTGACAGCTTTTGAATTTAAATTTAAATAGCAATACTAGGAGGTTTCTTTTTTCCTTCTGAATTATACATCTACACTAATTCTGCTCTATGTTCTGAAAAGGTCTGACTTCACAAAATGAAAAATTTTATCAGAAGTGTTGTTTATATTCTTACTACTGTATTATAGCAATCTAATTTATTGGGATTTTTCTCCTTCCATTCCTTTTCTAAGGGATTTAAAAAAATGTTTAAAAGACACAATAAATGAAAACTGGAAATTTCCCTATTAGTCTAATAAGCTTTGTGGGGCTTTTTTTGGTGGTGGTAGGGGTGGTTGTCTATGATTGGGTGATGCAAAGAGATGAATTATGTCCTGTCATAAAATTAATGATTAATGCTGCTTTAGTTTCATATTTAGTGATTTAGCTTTGTCAAAGATCCAGATCGGAGGTGGGTGTTTCGTTTTTCCTTACCATGTTTTGTTTTTCTCTATAGATTGGTCAGGTGAAACAGGAGCTCTCCAGAAAGGACACAGAACTACTAGCTCTACAGACAAAGCTAGAAACACTTACGAACCAGTTCTCGGACAGTAAGCAACACATTGAAGTGCTGAAGGAGTCCTTGACTGCTAAGGAACAAAGAGCTGCCATCCTGCAGACAGAGGTAAAAATAGTCCTGGGATTTGCAAAGAGTTGATTACTTGGCACCTTTTCATATGTATTATTACCTGTGCTCTTTTTGTTATGCTTAGATTTGGGAGATAAGAATAATATTATGATTAATTCTTTAGCAATATGATCAGTTATTGTACTAAAATATAACCATTTTGTTTTTGGATCTAATATATTTGAACTGGTGCAGTTTATATGTTTTTAATACGTTGGACTTTCTCTCAGTGTACCTTAAATTAACATGAATTGAAAACATAGTTGTAAAAAAGAAACCTGAATGAAGTTTTTGTTCTTAACCATGGTGAATCTTCTGGTCATGAATGGCAGTGAGCTTGGTTAAAATAATCCTGTTTGGATTATTAAGTGTTCTTAATTTCTGATATTGTAAATAGCATTAAATAGGCAAAAGTGGAATCTAGAAATGTTCTAGATACATCTTGTTTTGAACTACAGATCATTAGATACTGTGCCTTTATATCCTGTTTGAAAATAAAGTTAGTATTTTTAGAAATCTTAGATTATCTAGTCTGTCAGCCCTGGTTTTAGGTAGGAATACTTGAAATATTTCCAGGCAGATGAGAATATCATATTTGCAATGAGAAGGAATTGATGATGTTACTTGGACTTCCTATCTTAATGCAAATATTTTTAAAAGGTCTCAGTGAAATAGGGAATTTAGGTAGGAATAGGTAAATAGTTCTGCTTTATAGAAGAAAAATAAAGCATACAGTGTGGATTAGTTTTTCCTTTTCTTTTAAAGAACCAGATCATAGATAAATAAGGGCATATTTTATGGAAAAAAGGAATGGGGAGTAAAAAGAATGCATAAAAACTATATCATAGACACCCAGAAGATTAGAATCTTCAAGGGAGGAGGATTGTGAAAATGACCAAAACTATTTCATGTAATATTTTTGTACCATTTGGGACTTTTTTGAAAATGAGAGATTTGAATGACTTGTTTGTAATTTTCCTTACATCTTAAATTTTTAATAAAATTTTAATGTTTCATTTTATTATCATATCAACGCCATTCTACCTTAGAGAGATATTTTGGGTATAAATAAGTCTCATAGTTAATAAGAGTCACAGTTACTGAGTTTGAACTTTTAGCCTTACCACTTACCACCCAGGTGCATGATCCTGGGCATGTTGTTTAACTTCACTGTTCCTCACTTTACACATTTGTAAGATGAGTGCCTACCTTATAAGGTTGTTGTTAGGATCAAACTAGTTTATTCATACCCAGTGCCTGCCACACACAGTAAGGTCTTTGTATGTTAGTTATTGTCATCATGGTAATTTTTGTAATAAAATCAGCTAATATATAACTTTTAAAATGTTACGAGAACATGGTTGGTTTTCTTTTCATGAGCATAAATTTTATATAGAAGATCTGCTCTTTCATATTTTATTAAGCTAAATTTAGATTTATTTAGGGAATTTCAAATATAAAGTTATCTGGAAAATATTACTTGCAGAGGTTACTAATTTATGGCTTTATTAGTTTTTTACTTCAGCAACTGGTGTGTATGCAGTACTCAAAAGGGTCAGAAGAGGGTGTGAGTGTTTTAGACATGAGGCTGCTCCCAAGTTTACTCCTGTGATAACTTTGGATAGAGGTGGCAGGTGTATGAAACAGAGAACCAGGCAGTTGGTTAATGATAATGCAAACATTTAAAAGCTTGTCACAGTCTAATAAATGACTCTTTCCTCTTGGCAATCCATCCTTCTCTTTGTATCACTCTCAAACAATGTTTTTATTAACTAGGTCTCACACAGATGGGCTTGTGATTGGTTTCCTGTAGCACAGAGAATAAAGACTATATTTGTGGTCATTCTTGAATGGTTTTTATATTTGTTTTTAACTATTATGGGAGTAACTGAATTTCAGTGATTACCTCATAAGTTACTAGGACAACTGCTCAAATATATCTGTCTCATCCTAAAATATAACACTGTATAGCTAACTTTCCTTTGAATTTGGGATGATTATATCAATGTAATATACCTGCTTATTGGCATTTGCTTTTTTCCCCTTAAATTAATCTGGTGACACTTGATAAGAGTCACTTTTTCCAAAGCAACATTCTCATATTAGAGCCCATAATAGGTAGTTTGAATCAATTCTGAAAATTCATATCTTTCTGTAATTTGATATGAATTAATTTTGTTTTTCTCTCTGCAACTATCCTAGACTTTGATTTAACTCTCAAATCACTAAATTCAGCACATATGAAAAAGAACATGGATCAAGGAGTTTTTAAAATTTCAAAATTCTTTAAGGAAAAAAGGGATATTGGAAAAGATCTAATTTTCTTTTCCTGTTCAGGGTCCAGGGAATGAGGCCCTCTCCTGTTTAGCAATGTGCAGTATACAGTATCTATAGAATTGCTCCTTTTTATGAACATCTCTTTTAATCTGTTGACCTTCACAGAGGTAGTCTGAATTTAGTGACATGGTGGTCAAAAGCATGGCTTCAGTGTCAGACCTAGGATTGAAACACAACCCTCTATATTTATTAGTTATGTGACCTTGGATGAGTTGTTTTACCTCTTTAATACTCCATGTCCTCATCTGTAAGTGAGGATAATAATAATACCAACTGCCTAAGGTTAATATGGCTAAAGTAGATGTAAGATGTATAATTGTGTAGGTCTCATCTGAATTTGGAGGTAAATATTAAATATCAATGGCTTAAAAATGAGAAAAAACACACCTTAGAGTTTACAAATAATTTTATTTAATTTGATCTCTATTGTTTTATTTACTCTTGAGAGTATTGGTATTTTTCTTGCTTTGCAGTTAAGAATTATGTAATGTGTTTTATTAGCACATTACTTTTGATTGGCACTTAGGACCAGTCTCACTAGTAACCCAGGGACTTTGAGTATTGGTTAAAATGTTTTCTGGAATTTTTCTATTTTATGCTCACTTTCTTGTTCCTAAATATTTTTTTTGAAAAAAATTTAAAATTATTTTATATTTTTATTGAACTTATTGGTGTGACTTTGGTTATTAAAATTATATAGCTTTCAGTTGTATACTTCTATAATACATCATCTGTATATTGTATTGTGTGTTCACCATCCAAAGTCACGTCTTCTATCATTTATCATCTCTTTACCCTCTTCTACCATCCCCACTCTCCTTTCCATACTGTTGTCTGTGTCTATTAGTTTTTTGTTTTTTTTTGTGTTTTTTTCTTAATCCCTTCACCTTTTTCACCTGGTCCCCAATGCCCCACCCTTCTGACGGCTGTCATTCTGTTTCTCGGTGCATGAACTAGTTTGGGATACTTTTCAGGTGACTGTTTCTCATATTGTTCTGCCCCACCACCACTGTGAGGAGTGCATGGCCCCATAAGAGTTACGGGGTAGTGTTGGGGGCAGGTGGTACAGGGTAACCTTGGTGTGCTTTTCAGGCCAACTTGTGAAGATTAAGTGACCAGCTTTTGAATGCTCCCTCCTCCCTCCACATCTCCTCTATACCTGAGCTGAAGGATAGCTGTAGAAAAAGAGCTTTTGCAGAGCAGAGGTGCTGATCATTATACCAGAGGCTCTGGCAGGCTTATTTCCTGCCACCATCATTTCCCCCCTTCAAATGGTGAGTTGACATCACTCACAGTGGTGATGGGGCATTGTCTTGTTTAGGGAGATGTAGATCATGATAGGCTTAAGAAATTGACAGAAAATATAAGTGTAAGTACAGCTGTTAGTACACTAAGAGAACAGAAATGAAATGTACATGTTTTAGGCCATCAGTATAAAATGCAGGTTATCCAGTTGAGAATAGAAAAGAATTGGGGGAAAAGATGGTGGGTAGACACCATGAAAAAATTTGGCTGAAATAATTATGAATAATGGGAACAGCAATAAATGCAAACAAGTTAATCTTAGGTCAATACAAAATCTCAGTTGGGCTGAAAAATATGGTATAGATATATATTGTCAGTAGAGTTAAAATAAGACCAAAAAAAAAAAAAAAAAGACAGCCAAATTAAAAATAAAATGGTAATAAATGGTATTTATTAAAAAAATAAATGGTATACCAGGAAAATATGACTCCCCAAATCCACTTCATTTTAACACTAATTATTTATTTATTTAAATATGTTTTTATTGATTTCAGAGAGAGGAAGGCAGAGGGAGAGAGAGAAACAACCATGAGAGAGAGACACTATCGATTAGCTGCCTCCCACACCCCCCCTACTAGGTACTGAGCCCGTAACTGGGCCTGTGCCCTGACTGGGAATTGAATTGGTAACTTCCTGGTACATGGGACGATGCTCTGACCACTGAGCCAAACCGGCTGGGGCTAATTAAGTTATTTTTAAGGCAGAGACGTTATAAAGCACACAGAGCAGTGTTATATACTGAAAAAAAGGAGCAATAGATCAAGAAAATATGATTGTGAACATTTATACATCTTAGCAATATGCCTTCAAGTGTGTAAAACAACAATGGGGAGAGACAGATAAATCAATAACTGCAGTTGAGCATTTGAACATGTTCCTTTCAGAATTTGATCAAACAAAGGTAAACAACAATTTAGAAAATTTCAATAACATTAATAAGCTCAAATTAACAGGTATATATAGAATCTTGCACTGGCAAATAGAGAATAAGCAATCTTTTTAAGAGCTTATGGAAGTCATAAAAATCAATCATGTACTAGGCCAAAGAGGAAGCGACAACATTCCCAAAAATCAAAGTCACGTGGACTGTGTTCTCTGATCCCTAATGCAGCAAAATTAGAAGTCAATAATAAAGAATTATAACAGAAAACCAAAATAAGTTTGGAATCTGAAAATGTACTACTGAATGACCCTTGGATTAAAGGAGAAATATAAAAATTTTAGAAGTGAATGATGAATGACAATGAAAGCATTACATATAGAAATATATAGAATAGGAAGTAAAAGAAAATCTATGGGTTATAACTAAAGCCGGTTTCAGTTGGAACTAATTTTCTTAATTAAAGTTATTGGGG